GTAGTTATAATCTTGGTGAGATCAATATTTACTATTTATATAATTGTGACTATGTAAATGCCATTCACAGCTGAGCTCTGTGGTAAATGATCACGTGCTTTGCTTTCCTGAATGGCTTTTTAGTTTTGAGTTAATAATTGTTTTGTTCCCTTCCCTCATCCCAAGTGGACCCAATTTTCTCAATATTTGTTATAAGTTCAACCCCAAACTTTTTGCCAGTGTTCCAAGTGACCTCTCAACACCTTCCAATGCACCAGAAATTACATTCATTTACCTTTTTGAAGAAATCTCGCTGGACCCTTCAGACATATTGGAATCTTGACTGATTAGCCCATCTGGTGCATAGCTGTCTTCCCGGAGTCCTCCTTCGCCATCATCTGGGGATTCCACCTGCTTTTATCTTGTACTGGGTTTCTGCTTTCTATATGTAGTGTCCAGCGGGTCACCACCGTGGGCAGCTGTAGCTCAGTCTCACTGGGGAACTCTGGGAAACTGTTTAGAACATGCACCTCAGAGTTGTCCCACCCAGGGGCGAGGGAGCGGAGGTGTTCACTCTCCCCCTGTCATTGGTTGTCATTCTCCTACCAGTCACTGGCTAAGTGTTCTTCTGGGAGCAGTTGGCTCCCCAGCACAGCTGGCTCGTTCTATGGTGGCTTTCCCACTGTGACAGCAGAGTGGAGTTGTTGTGGCAGAGCTCAGACTGAAATATTTACTGTCTGGGTCTTTATAGAAAAAGTTTGCCAACCCCCGCTTTAGATTGAGTGGTCAGGAAGGGCCTCCCTGAGGAGCTGACATTTAAGATGAGACCCGAATGACCACATTGGGTGTAAGAAGGCAGAGAGAACAGAGAACAAAGGCCGAGCTTTCTCTTTAATCCTATAAGAGCCTTTCCAAAGGCTTCTGTCAAAAGTATGATGGGATCCAAAGGCTCTGAGGGTGCTGTGGGGTCCCAGGGTTACAGAGCCCACAGGTTCTGAGTTGGGGTATGGAGCCAGGACTGTCTAACGCCAGAGTCTGCCATGCCCTGTGCCAGCCCCTTCTCAGCCTGGCAGGGCACAGGAGCCCGAGAACTGCCTGTCAAATGGCTTTATTTGCCTTCCAGGGGCAATGACCAGGGATTTTAGATTAATTCCCAGGAATAGGTGAGAAGGGCCTGGGATTTGCCCACAGGCCTGAGAGCAGATGTTCTGTGGCCTCCTGGTTGGCAGTGGGCCCATGATTGCCACAAAGCCTGGATCTGGACCTGATAACAGGCAGGGGTAGTGAGTGGATGGCAGATGAAATGGGGCAGCCATCGGTGAATCCAGGGCCCTGCTTCTCTCCTGACTGGCCCACAGCCTGCAGCCTGATTCAAAGGGCCTACCCTCAGCCCATAGGGGCCTGACTCCAGCTGGGTAGGGTTTTCTGGGACTGGAAGAAAAGTGACAGCCTCAAGACCTCCGTCAGAGAGAACCCAGCTCTCAATCCTTATGGGCCAGTTTATTTTTCGCCAGGCTGTGGCCATGCTAAGGGAGGAAGAGAGGCTCTTAGCCCCATTTTGGAGCCAGAGAAATTAAAGCAGTAGAGAGCAACAGGGGGTACTGGTTAAAAATGCAGACTCTACACCTGAATCCCAGACTCAGCATTTGCCCACTGTGTGACTTCAGGCGAGTCGTTGACTTCTCTGGGCTTCATTTTATGAATTATGATAATATCTGCCTCAAAGAAAGGTAAAGAATTAAGGAAACAATAGCCCAGGACCACACCCACAGGAAGGACTCAGTAAACCTTGGCTGATCCTAAGCACATTCTCTCAGCTTTGACAACAGTTCGAAGAGGTCTTGGAGTAGCAGAGGACTCTGGGTTTGAGCCAGACGGGTCTCTTCTCTGCCCAGGGCCAAAAGCTGACCTCATCCTTGACTCCTCTATTCTATATGCCACGATCCATCAGCAAATCCTGCCTTCAGTATGCACCCAGAGTCCAACCATTCCTGCCCTCTCCATGGTATCACCTTAACCTAAACTGCCATCGACGCTTCACCAGATTATAGGAAAGGCCTTCCAGCTGGTCTGAAGGCTTCCATCCTTGCCCCGCCCCCACCCTGACCTCCCCTCCCCGGGACTCACACCAATTCTGCACAAGCAAAGGGGTCCCAATAAAAATCAGATGGTAGCACTCCTCTTTTCAAAACCCTTCTGTTTCCTAACACATCTAGAGTTAACTATTTATTCAACGTTCATTTATTATTGAGTATCTACTATATGCCAGGTATTGTTCTAGGCACTAGAGATAAAACAGAACAAAACAGGCAAAAGCCTCTGCATTCTGGAAGTTTACATTCTCTTGGAAAGAGAAAGATAATAAACAAATATATAAATAAAATACATTAGGTGTTATGGAGAAGAATAACTCGGGGAAGGAGATGGGGTTTGGATTTTGAACAAAGTGGTCAGGGAAGGCGTAAGGACAAGGTAAGGGTTAAACAAGAAGCCTGTAAGTGAGAAAGGTGGGAGCCAAGGGGCAACCTAGTAGCAAGGTAGTCATGTACCACTTTACAGCTGTGATACAGGTCTGCGAGATGTGTCTAGGTGATTTCGTCATTGTGCAAACATCATAGAGTAAGCTTACAAAAGCCTAGATGGTTTAGCCTACTACACACCTAGGCTTCGTGGTATACCACCATCATATGTGAGGTCCTCCATTGACTGAAACGTCAGGCAGCACATGACTGTATTCTAGACAAAGCGATCAGCAAGTGCAGGGGTGGCAGCGTGCCCAGTGTGTGACAGCTGAGGAAAATTCAGAGTCACACTGGGGAAGTGCATCCGTGGGGTCCCTCTGCCCAGCCCAGGCTTCTTTCCTACCATTTAGCGTGGTGACGTCCTGGACACTGGGTGGAAAACGCTTGCTCTCAGGGTGAATCACAGTGCCCTCACGGGGAGTTTCCCTCAAAACGTCCCCGCTTTGTGATGGGAAAAAGCCGAAACCTCATGGGGCCAGAGGGTCACCAAGCCCTGACAGCAAGCGCGTCCTGTAAGTGCCATAGGTCTCCTCCCACGCCAGAGCAATAGAGATGGAGAGACGGAAGACCCACCCTCGCGCGACCGAGGCCCCGCCCCCTCCAGCGGAAGCCGGAAGCCAGGAGCGGGCCTTGCTAGCCCCGAGACGCCCAACTCTGTGATCTGGGAGGCTCCGCAGGATGGGGGAGAAGATGGCGGAAGAGGAGTGAGTGGGCTTTCCCAGGGCGGCGGAGGCGGCGGGGCTGGGCCCCGGCGGGTGACAGCTAGCACCTCAGGCCGCCCTCCGGCCCCGGAAGGCGGAGCTCCTTGTGCCGGTTGGCCAGGACTGACCATGCCGGCGCCTGCGAGGAGGGCGGGAGGGACAGGCCTGGGCTGAGCCCGGCCCTGCAGCCTCCTTGAGGTCGGACCCGCGGGCTGGGGATCGGCCGCCCAACGCAGGCCTCGAAAGCCGTCTGGCGGAAACCGCAACCCACAGTTCACTTTCCCAGTTTTCGGTCATCTGATGATTACGGAACGCTCCGCCGCCTCCCCCACGAAGTCCCCCACTCCCTACGTAATCTGTCGCCTCCACAACTGTAACGATCATTTTTTGCATCTTTCTCCTTTACTGAGTTTCATTCATTAACTATTGGCCATTTACTCTTATTTCAGGCTCTGGGCACGTAGTAGTGAAGGAGGCAGACCAGGAGCTGCCCTGTGGGAACTTCCA